AATTCTTTTGTTTTTCACATCTTATCTATAATTAAATTATTAATTATAATTAATAGTTTATTATTAATTATTAATTATTAATTATAATTGTATTATAATTAATAATTTATTTGTTGTAATTTACTTTACTATTTTAAAATCATTAAAAATTTTTTTCATTTATTAATTAAATACAAGAATCTTTTCTATATATTTTATTTTATTTAAAGAAACAAATCTTAAAAGACAGTAAAGAAAAAAAAAGAGATTAATATTAAATTTATTTTAATTGACACAAGTTATTTTTTAAAACTATTCTAATTTGAATATACTTTCTTATATATATACTTTCTCTTAGAAACACTTTCAAACAATCATCTAATTGACTATAAAATCATATAAAAATATAAACGTTTGGTAACGTAAGCATAACTTTCTTTTTAAACTCAATTTTGATATTGAATTTTTTTATGCATCTTCTGTAAATACTAATATCTTTCTTCTTTTTCTTTAATATTATTTTATGTTTTTTTCTATTTATAAATTTATCTATTGTTTAATTATTTTACGTTAAATTTTTAATTTTCATTTAACGTGTAAATTCTACCTAATGTGTAAACAATTATACATCATCAAATAATTACCACTTGTTAAATTTCATATCTTTTTTGTATTATATTTTTATATTACACTTTATATTATATTTTAATATTATATTACAGCAAGTGCGGAAAGTTGACAATTGTTCATTCGTGTGGGGTGATCGCACTCGCCTTCGTCTCGTGTGTCCATCCCTCGCACTCGTGACCAATTGTCAACTTTCCGCACTTGATACACAATATACTATTGATATATTGCCTAAAGTTAACGTCATAAAAATGATAACCCTTGAATTACGTTAAGCACGATAGGCGAAATTTCGTGCCTGCGACCGCACGGGTCCACGAGACGCATCGCTGAGATGAGACAAAGCCAAATCGATGGATCGTCGGTTCTTGTCTGACTCAGTGGTTCGGTTCTCAACTTGGTTCTTAGCTGAATAATTCAGACATGAACCATATTGCGAATCGAACCATTTACCATGTTTTACCAAGCGTCACGACGTAGTTTATGTCCACTTTGTCAAAAAGCGTACTAGTACACGCGGCCGCTGAATCCCGGTGGCCGCACTCTTGTTTCTCTCTGGATGTATGTGGTGTGGAGTTTCGCGCAAATTTAATGAAAACGTAGATATTTAATCACAAAATATTTAATTATAAAAGTAATTGTGTGGACTCATGAATCATCTCAGTTTTGTCAAATTTAATTATCAAATTTATCAAATTATCAATTTAATTATGATAGCAAATTATTGTATAGTAAACTATAAGTAGAATACTAATACAAATTTGAGAATCACAATTCCATAATTTTCATTAAAAAATAATGCAGGTATAAATGATGCTACAGTATATTATATACAGTTATATTGTAATTTTATATTTTATTATGTATTTTATATTTTAATTTTAATTCTTGAATGTCTATTACGTACATAATTTTAATTTACCATATTATATTATGATAGATTTTATAATATTCTATCATGTAGAGCATTTACATGCAAGTATTTCTATTGTGTTATATTCGTCAATGTTTTGGCGAAACTTAGCATCGTTTTCTTTCATTTTGTTCCATTCGTGTTCTAAATGCTGTTTTAAGTCTTCTTCTTCTTCAGATTTCAATTGATGTATGAAGGGAAGACCGGAGAGAATATACGCTGTAAAATAATAATAACTCCCATGAAAAACACATATGTATACATACGTAAAAATTAATTGTATTACTGATGATGTGATTCATATTAATATTAAATAGTTATATACATACATTAAGATAAATTTGATTTCTTAAATAAGATTTTAATTTTATGTTTGATACACGTATGATGAGAAATAAAAATACTTACACATGAGGTATTCTGATTTATATTCTACATCAAATTTAACAAGGCAATGTTCAACTTCAAATCCTGTATCTTCAAGTATGTTTAAAAATATTATATCTGTTCTAGAATTATCCGCGTCATGAAACCTCGATGTATATTTCTTTATGTGTCATAAAAATATAAAAATAATAATTAAAAATATGTAACAGAAAATTTATAATTAGAAAATAATATCTAAAATATTAACAAATACATACCTCAAAGTATTTGCCATAAGATGGATGCGTTTTTAATATTTTATAAAGATTAAACGCATCATGTTTTATAACGATGGATGCATGAAAGTGTCCTCCAACTTTTAGCATATCAAAAATATTCTTAAATTCTTGTCTATTAAATAAACAAAAAAATATATAATTAATTTTAAACAATTACAAATATTAAAATATTTTTTGAAAAATATATTTTAAACTAATTTTATTTTAATGTTGCACCAAAATCAATTAACGTAAATCATTATTGTTTCAAAATGTTGTATTTTTTACTATTAGTATTTAATATTTTGCATAAATGCCGACAAAAAAATTCAAAAAAAGCAATTTCGTGAAATTTTTAAAAGATTTTACAAAAATATTATTTATTTAAAATAACTTTTGTAAAAGCACACATATATTTAGAGCACACATAGAATTTTCGCTCTTTTTACAAAATAAAATTATATATTTATACTTACTCAAGATCATTGCGAGAAAATATAGTGGGAAACGAAAAAATATTATCGAATTTCCCTATATATTCATTAGGTAAATTTTCGCTTTGAATATCTAATACGTCAAAATCAATTCTATCATGATTTTTATAGTTTTTTCTCGCATGTTCTATCATTTTCGCCGAACCATCGGTACCTTGAAGTAATACGCAATATTAGAAAATTAAGAAATAATTTTGTCTTAAAATTTATTATTACAGATATACTTTTTCATATAATTAATTCTTTATAGTCTTACCTATTATTTCCCCAAATTGAGGATCAATTTCTGGCATTAAATAATGTCTGGTGATATTTCCATAAGCACAATTTACTTCCATACATTTTGATGGACCACTGAATATATTTTTTTTGGAAGAATTCCATTTAATATATGAATATGCATTATGCTCTTTTAATGTCAGTGCCGTATTAAATTGCCCGGATTTAATCACTCGGATCGCCATATTTTTTATAAATGGAAATAATTAATACTCAAAAAACACACATAAAGCACTATTTTAATATTTTAATATTTTTTCTTGGATGATTATTCGTTGAACAAAGTTTTTTGTGTTCACTTAGAGAATAAAATAGATATTACAATATTTTTGATGACACGCGGTAGCAAAACATAAAATTTGCACGATAGAACGATAAGATGTAGCTAGACTGCTTTAGGTGACACAGAATGCAAGGCCCGAAAATGTGCATGCCCTTATATAGAGGGTTCTTCAGGTACAAACCTAACAAACAGTGGGACCAACAAGTGGGGAACAGCTATTGTATACCATATATTTGACACACTCACTAAACTGTTGGAAAATATATGAAATCTTTAATAAAAATATTTTCAAAGAAATATTACATTTGTAAAATTTTATAAAAATTAATTGTAAAATTATTTAAAAAATTTTGAAAGAAGTTGTTAAGGAATGGTTCAAAAATTAGCTTTTCAAGAACGGATACAATCAATTTAATTAATCAAGTATGTAAGTTTATTATATATTATTTATTTGTAATTGATTCGATAAAATAAAGGAAAAAAATAAGATTACATTATATATCTCGTAAATACAGTATATGTTTATAATATAGTTTAAACAAAAGTTTTATTTTCAACAATTTTTCAGTAGCATAAAATGTTCTTATTGAAATAAAATACAAAATTGATATGATTTAGCAATAACGCATTAAGACATACACATTTTTGCAAATATCTTTTATTTCGATGATATTTAATAATAGTTTACGAATAAATTGTTTGATATGTATTAAAGTTATTTTATATTATCTTCAAGAATCAAATTTCATATATGTAAAAATGAATTTGTAATTGTATAAAAATAGATATTAAACGTGAAAACATTTTACAATACAATGGCTAAAATTTTGTATATCGAAAAAACCTAATGTATGTTAAAAAATCATGATAAAAAATTCCTATATTCGTTCTTTGTGTTCTCAGGTATCTAAGGGTTGCATATTTGAAGATAATATTATGTAAAGGACAATAGAAAACGAAATACATTCCTTGTTTGGTTGTGCAGTGTGAGATAAAAAAAAAGAAATGTCCTTGTAATCCTGACACATAAAACATTTTGCTTTTTCCTCTACATCTGATGATTTTCAAAGATAATAAAACTAGAACTGACGTTTGATATATATGACTCACATGCGAATATTATACAAAGCATTGATAAAAATCAGAATCATATATCGCTTTATCTATTTTGGCTTAAAATTCTTTTTAATATCTTGTCTTATATATTACAGATTATATTTCATTTATATTTATTTTATTATTTTTTATATTTTTTAAATATTTTTTATGTTTTTTATAAATTATTATATCATACTTTTTAATAAATAGAATATAACTATTGACGTTGGAATAACAGAAAAATTATACAGATTATATAATGATATATTTGAAAAAATAATAATGACAAGACATATACACTTTTAATTATTGTTAATAAAAAGATTATAAAAATTATAACGTTTAATATTAAAATTATATTTAATGAATAAAAAACTGAATAAAAAAATATGCATTGATTGTAAATGATATGATAAAAATACGCTTTGATGTCTGTAAAAAGACTTATTGTTAGACTTGAAAAAAAAAAAGGAATTAAATTTGCAGAAAAAATATAAAGAAAGCAACTTGAGAGCATTAACTATTTCATGTCTTTATATGCATATAATAATAATAATAATTTTAATAAAAATTTTTATAATATTTATAATTAAAATTGTTCACATAAAGTTATCATTAGGATTAAAAATGTTCTTACAAAATAAATTTAAAAATCAGTCCTGAAACATTTTTAAGACATCTCAGCATTTTGAAATTCTTGCAATTACTAAAAGTTTTCACACACGACTAAAAATGTAAATTACAACTGTGATTTACAATTCGTCCTTAAAATCTCTAAAATTCGCACCATGAATCTTCATCCGATGTGTCAGCTGATCCCAAAATGCCATTCTTTCCGAAAGAAGATTGCTTTCCATAAGTACCTTAGTTGAATTTTTATGTATAGATATTCTAGTGAATAATTCGTTTTTACCGGCTTCCACTTTATGGGAATTAACTTCGTAACTTTTGGCGTTGGATTTCTAAAAAAAAAATTATTGTAATATATATCTTATACTAATGCATTATTTTTTATCTCGTCGCATATCAAAAAGAAAAATTATAAATTTATTATATATTATTAATTTATTATATAATAATTATTACTTTATTATTAATTTAATATATAATAATTATTATATATTATTAATTTATTATATAATAATTATTACTTTATTATTAATTTCTTAAATAATAATTATAAAAGAATCGTGAAAAAATGCAAAAAATAAGAGATGTCATTACGCTAACTATTATGTTAAATATTTATTTTATTATACTAATCTTTCACATTTTATGACATATATATATATATATATATATATATATATATATATATATAACATATAAAATTCTGATGTATATTAATCACAATAAAATTCGAATTGTCATGTGAGATATAATAAATCGCTGAAGATATTAACACTTACCCGGAATTTGCGAAATTGTACCAGAGTTCGGTCATGATATTGATTATCTCGTGATCCTCCTTGGACAATTCTATATCCTTGAACAATTGTTCACCCACAGGGAACAAATACTGCAGCTCGTCTGCGTGCGACACTCCATAATTTTTCTTTTTATCGCCGAATATCGTGCTGAAAGACGCGCTTCCTCTATACGCGAAGTAATAATAATAGGCCGGTGAAGTTTGATTCACAATAAAGTCTTTGATAGCTTCATGAGTGCCGTGATTAAACCACGCGTCGCTGTACATCTGCAAAGTTATGTTAGATATTAATAAAAAAACTAAATAAATCAATTAGTAATTAAATAGTAATTTGTAAAAACTAATTAGTAATTAAATTAACACCGCAATTTTTTTACTGCATTTTTACATAATAATAATTTTACATAAAATAAAACACATAGAAAAATATTATTAAATAATTTTTTTAAATAAAAATTATTTTTACAGTAATCCTATACTCTATTTGCGAGTTCAGAAAAATGTTCTGTTTTTTATATAATAAAAATAAAAAATGAAAAATATAATAAATATCACATTTGTTAAATACTACATACACAGTTTTCCATTGCAGCAAAGAAGAAAAACAATATATATATATATATATATATATATATATATATATATATATATATACATATATATATTATATTATTTATCAAAATAATTTTTATTTTTAATGTTTCATAATTTTCTGAATTTTTAATTTAGAGATTTTTTCCTTACATGCTAGACGAAAAGTAAAATTAAATATTTTTCTTTTTTAAATTTTATAAATATTAACATTGTATGTTATTTAATTTGGACATACATCGATGACTTTGAATCTAGCTTCGTCAGATTGATCGATGTCCTTATTGCCGAAGTAAAATTCGCGAATACTAGTGCTTATTTCATCTCGAAATTGCGTATCTACAATACGATATCGCTCTTCGTAGAATAAACTGAGAGGTGCAACATTGTGGAAATCGTTATTCAACTCCTTCACATGTTTGCCCTGATCTCGTCCGTAAATACCTGAGGAGCATTTCATGTATAAATTATTTGTTCCACTTAAAAAAAATAATTTGCAAAAATTTGTAACGCGATTAAAAATGTGATGTTAAAACTGTATTTACATATTATCTAGAATAAATTTTTTTTAGATCTAAAACGAGTACTTTTATAGTATTTTATGCAAGCAAATTTTATTGAAATAAGTTACTTTAAATAAGTTAATAAGAATCGGGAATCCCTTACCTGCTACTTTAAGGGTTCCTTCTTCTGAGGTAATTCCTGTCATCCAAGGTGTGTCAGCTAGACGGCCTTGTCGCGCGGAAATTATTGGATCCTCTGCCATAAAGGCACCAGCGTGTCTGGGTTCGATCACTGGTTTGAAGGGTATCATTGGACAATAACCAAAGTGCTACGATAAAACAAGAGATAATTAATTAATTTTAAATTATAGAAAAATCAGTTGCAATAAATAGATATATAATACATCCCATATAGCACAAAATATTATATGAACGTTTTCAAAAAATATTTCTGAATATTTTTTCTATAAAATATTGCATAAAAACATTTTAAAATAGTTTTAGGAATATTTGAAACTAATTTAAAAATTTTTTGTGATAATATATTTTAGAATATTTTAAAAAATATTTTTAAAAATGTTTGTCTTTTTATCACTCAGATATTATAATATTTTCTTAAATATTTGATATATATTTTTGAAAGATTAATTTAAATCTATATTCAAACATATTTTTGAAAATATTTTTTAAACATGAAAAAGCGGACGTGGAAACATTTTAAAATTATTTTCGAGAATTATTTTATCTTTTAATAGTTTTAAAAGATTTTTAAAATAATATTTTTAAAAATATTTTGTGCTCTATGGAATATTTCATAAAAAATGCTTTGTTAAATAACAATAAAGAAGTATGACATAAGAAGACAAATTAACAACAATGCTAAATAAAAGAAGAGAGATAAATATATTCAAATTAAATATTAAAATAAAGATAAAAATATTAAATAAATATTAAAAATAAAGTCAAGTCAAGATTAAAAGAATCGAGCAGTTTGTGTAATTTTCAATTCAGATTTCTGAAACATGTGATTTTTTCTGAGAATTAATCATTGTTTGTTACTGGCGCAACATTTGAATAATTGATAAAATATGAAAAATATCGCATTCAAGAAATATAAAAAAAATTTCTATTATTTATATCATAATCAGCGATGACGATTCTTTAGTTGATCAGTCTGTTGCAACTTGCTTCCTGTTTTTTTTCAACTCATAGAGATGCGCAATGCACGAGCGTGAATAAAAATGCCAATTACATATACAGAAAAACATGCAAAAACGTGCACGTCTCGCTAAACTGGTTTTTCTCGCATCGCCAGAACTTTGAATATATTTATAATATTATTTATTCACATCAATCTCGCGCACCTGAATTAGATTATCATATTTATTTGAAACACACACTACACATAATAAATCAAGATTACTTCAGAAAAATTTCTATATATATATGTATAAACGCCTAGTTAAATAAAGTATCAACAAACAAATAATGTCGGTCACAATAAATAAATAAACATCTAAAAAAATTTTATATATATATGAAGATTGACGGACGTGACTATCATCATAATTTTTTTTCAAATTTATCTTAATTTTGCATTCGGGACACGCCTATTCCAAAGTGAAATAAAACGATAACTTTGCGTGACTGTCCACGGATTATGCAATTATATCGATGTCTGTTTGTATAAGCATACGTATATAATTTTTGTATTACACGTGCAGGCAAAGTGGCACTTTGTGTGCGTGTTTTCTGTGCGGAAAGCGGCCGATTTCCCACGTCGCCATCTAGCGGCGACGCGGTGAATGAATAAACCGCGTTCAAAGCCATTGTCCACGGCTTTAGCCGTGGGCAATGATTTCGAACACGCAAGATAGCGGCGTGCGATCGGCCACCTCGCGCACAAAAAACGCGCACAAAATCACTTTGCCTGCACTTGTAATACAAAATAGTATGTGTATCACGTGCGGATTGACAATTGTTCACTCGTGTGGGGTGGTCGCACTCGTCTTCAGCTCGTGCGTCCATCCCCCGCACTCGTGACCAATTGTCAACTTTCCGCACTTGATACACAATATACTATTCTGAAACTGATACACGTGCAGAGATATAGAGCTTGTCTCTCGTAGTTACGCTTTTATAGCTGCGCATAAATGCGCTTAGATGACATTTTAAGTTAAAAAGTAAAAGTAAACGTTTCACGTGTGCGTAAAAAATATTAATATTACGAGTTGAATTTGATTTAAGCGCTTGATCGGTTCTTTAAATAAAAATTACATCAGAAAAGTATTTATGAATTTAAATTAGACACTACATTAGAATAATTATTAATAATTTAAATAAGATTATATTAGAAATAATAAATGTAATTCATATATGCAGGCTGTTTCATTTTAAATGAATTTAAAAAATTAAAAAAGATAAAAAGTGATAAATGCAAGGCCAACTATTAAAAAAGATAAATAAATAAAATAAAATATATATATATATATATATATATATACATATATTAGACTTATAGAAGATAAAAAGAGAAGGAAATAGAAATTCATAAACATCATGCAACACGTAGGAACACTGTGCACACATGATTGGTAGCTTAACGAATGCCTTCAGATATCTGTCGAAACGAAGTAATAAAGAAATGCATAAGAAGACCGCACGAGAAAACATTTAACAAGCAGTCAAAGTATTAAATATTCAGGTCAAATTCCAGTTAATTCAAGTTCTTAGATTATATATATACATTGCAGCCAATTGAATGTTACATTTGCATACTTTAAGACATTTATGTGAAAAATATACGAAATATAAGAAGTATATATTGACAGAGAAATTAATTAGTAAGAAATAAATTGCATTAAATTATTCGATCATTGAAATCATTTATACTTCTCCCTTTTACTTCGAGATTTAATGAACGAGATGGTTTCAACATTTATTTATTTAATATTTACGAAAGAAAAACTGCAGTATATTAAAAATGTAGTAAAATAAATTTTAATTTAATATTTTATTTATTAAATAATTAATGTAATTTTTGTAAATAATTTTTGTAAATAATTTTTGTTAAATAATTAATGTAATAATATTATTTTTAAATAATTAATGTAATTTAGAAAAAGGTATCGTATTTTTTAATTATAATCTTTTTGTTTTTATATACGTATATTATCCCGATTAATTTTAATTTACATTTATGCTTTATTTTTGTGTAATGTTTTAACTACATATATAAAATCTCTTATAATATGAAATGTCATTATAAAAGTTATTGTAAAATATATAATATATTACATTATCTGCAATAATTTGTCATGTCAAAAAATTCATTTACCTGGTAAAGACGATCGGAAGCAATAATTTTCTTTGCGTCTTTCGTTCGCAGACATTTGATAAGTTCTGCAGAATTTTCGGTGTTGCATGCTAAGTTTTTACCGAGGATGATGGCCTTCTTTCTGGCAGCTCCCGGTGGCGTTAAAGTCCACGGATTGTAGAAGTTACCGCTTTGCGAGATACCGCGATGGAAAAGACCTGCGTGATCATACAGGAAAAATATAAACTCCACGCGCATAAAAACATATTACGCCAATTAGATGTTTTCACAAGAAACTGCAGATCACACATATATGTATGTCTGATTGCATAATACATGCTATGTTACGTATACTTATATTATGTATGATATAATCCTCTCTTTAATAATTGTCGTAAATAAAAGTAAAAGTTTTAAAAATTATATACATAAGAGAATTTGATCTACTCGATTTTAATACCGACAACATTAGATTTGAGTGAAAATATTGCAAAAAATTTAAGAATAACTGTAGCAGTAAGATGTTCGAAGTAAAGAACAAATATTAGAGCAATTAATCAACGTTAGAATTATAAAAATTATTGCTGGTGAAAAATTATACTTTTATGAAAAAAATTTATTTGTACATTATTTAAAATATATTAAAATACAAAAAAATAAAATAAAATATTACAAATTATATAATTAAAATATGTCAGAAAATCTAATATATATCAATAAAAATATTAATATTTTTTTATATACAATTTTGTAAGTTGCATTACTGGATATCTCTTTTGTTTCCTTCGATGAATAAGAAAATAATAATGTAGCATGTCAATCTTGAAACCGGTTTCGAACTTTAAATTTGTGATTTGTTAACATCATCAAGCGATAACATCATTAACAATTTATAAAACAAGCGCAATTATAAAACAAACACGTATTTTTATTTCCTCGTATATTCTTATAAAAATCACGATTCGTGTTGTTGCGCTGTAAATCGGAACGATATTATTCAAGCAATTAAAGATACTTCAACGACATCGCGCTCGATAAAATGTAGAATCGCAAATAAATTCTTGCAATAAAATTGTATCAGCGTATCAACATTCATTATATGTACATGCCGTTGTATTGCATAAGGAAAAAAATTAAGTTAAACGATACTTTTTATATATGCAAAAAACTTAAACTAATAATAATATTTCTAATAATGTTTCTCTTTCAATTTTTTATTTGAAAATGCTTGCGTATTAATTATATTTTTACTTCATCTCCTATTTTTATTTCCATCCCACTCTCCTCTATTTCCTTATAATTTATTTCTCTAAAATGTTTATATTATATATAGATATCTTTTAATATATATATTTTGCTTATACAAATTTTGTATATTTTTTATATTTATTTTATATATTTTTCAAACTTGTATTGTAAATATTATTACACAAAATTTTTTATAATTAAAGAAAGAATATATAATGTATTAAGAGATAAATTAATATTTTATATATAATTAATATTAATTATAATATAATAAATATTTAATATTTATATACAATATTTTATATAATATAAAATATTTTGTGTAATTAAAATCTCAATTATATTTATATAATTAAAGAAAGAATATAATGCATTAAAAGAGAGATATACATACCTATATTAAAATACTTTAAAGAGATAAATTATAAGAAATTATAAAGAAACGAGAGCGGGAAGAATAAAAGTGTTTCATTACATATACATATTAATGTGATTTAGTATGAAGATCTTGCTAAAGACCTTACCTTCTGAAAGAGGACTGACCATATGATAGTGAACACTTGCGCCTCCTGCACTTTCTCCGAAGAGAGTCACTCTGTTCGGATCACCGCCAAAAGAAATGATATTCTCCTGCACCCATCGCATGGCTTGCAGCTGATCCTTCAATCCAAGATTCCCCGGACATTCCAGATCCTCTGTACTCAAGAAGCCCAGCGGTCCAAGTCTAATGTGAAAAATCTACGTTATTATACGCATAATACATCTGCAATGAGAAATCTATTTCCCTTATTGCTAGAATCATTATAAAAAAAATTTTATAATTTTATTAATTAAAATTGTATAATTTTATTAATTAAAATTTTATAATAATTCTAACAAAAAAAATTTATAATTTTCTTACTCCCCAATAATTGCGTAAAAACAAACATATCATTCACTGTGCATATAACATTTTTATATCATTTTCTAATGTAAGATTACGCATCTCTCGACGTGTAAAAAATTAAATTGCACGATTAATGCTGGAGTGATCGCATAAATGACATTTATGTGCACGAATCTGCAATTTTAATTGATATACATTTAAATTTAATAATTACATACACATGTATTTAAATAATATGCTCAAGGAATCATCTCTAAATTACGTAAAGCTACATTTACGATTTTTGTCCCCTCTTTCTTTCGTCAAATTTTCTGTGATCTCTTGCTCTCTATATTTTACATAATATTTTACAATTTTATTAATATTTTTTTTAACACTTTAAAGTTTTTTTCTCGAAATTCCAAGTCACATTTTCATTATTTTTATAAAATAGTTAAAATTAGTTGATAAAAAAACAACTAATCAATGAAAATGAAAATAAAAACTTTCTTAAATTTTATCTTATTAGAGGAACATTAAAAAAATTTGTACGCAAGATAATCTCACTTCAGCCCCTTATCCTCTCCTCCCAAAAGCTTTACATAATTTAGGGATGGCTTTTATACCATATGTCTTCATTATTTTAATTCGTCTAAAAATAAATGACAGATGTCACACAATCGTGCAATCAATAAAGTGTCATTTAATAGCGCTCCAAGGTTAAAGAATCAAGATCGAACACCGAAAGTTGACGGTGACGAGGACAAGATCGTGATCCAGCAGAAACTTGGGCCCGTAAAATTCGGAGTGGCCGGCCCCGGTGAGCCATCCGCCACCGTGGAACCAGATCATGACCGGATATCGATGAGCGATCGACGACGGCGCGTCGAAAACGCGCGGCGTGTAAACGTTCAGATAAAGACAGTCCTCGTCGCCGACGACCTCTTTTTGATACGTGTAGATGTTCCGCTGCGTGCATATCTCCGCATTTTCCACAGCCGCTCTTACGCCGCTCCAGGCGGCCGCAGGTTGCGGTGGCTTCAACGAGAAAAGAAAATTAATTTGTGAATAAATACTGCTCGGAAAAAATTTTTATATATAATTATATGTGAATCATGTCCATTTTTATATACATAATTATATAAATTTATATATATATATATATATATATATAAATTATAAGGGTTTATATATATATCAATTATATATAAAATATTATATGTGTATAAAAAAATATTATATATAAATATAATATATTATTATATATAATTAATATTAATTATATAAAATATAAAAGATATTTATCTCTCAATACGTTATATATTCTTTCTTTAATTATAAAAAATTGTGCGTAATAATATATACAAGTTTATTAAAAAATATATAAAATAAATATGAAAAACATCATGTCAAATTATATATAAAACATATATATTTATATATATAAAGAAATACTTATTTATTATATATACATATATATAAATTTATATAATTATATATAAAAAGCATTTTTATCTAATTATGTATGGACATATTTCATACATAATTTTGCGATTATATGTATAATTTGATATATTTCTATATAATTTTATACTGTTATATATTGTATAAAATTTTTTTCACGGGTCTGATTCGTCTACACGGAAGTTTGCATTCTATTTTACCGCAAAATTCACAACAAATTTTATGGTTTAAAAATAAGCCGAAATATTATTAAAATTATCATTATTAATAACGATTAAATTGGAGAAAAGATATTATGCTGCGATTGTAAAATTATATAAAATATTTTATATGTTTATTATTTTTTTGTCATCTTTCTATTCTACTTAAAACACTTAAAAAAGTTTTTATTATAGTTTTTAATATATTTTAAAATTATTAAAATTTTACTATTTTTATAAATTTATCAAACATAAATTTAACGTATAAGACGGGCAACAAGAGCCAAATCGCGGATGACAATGCTTTATCCTAACGAAACTAAATAATTTTCCGTTAGAATTAAATACCGGTGCACAAGGCACCAAATTTTACTTGGACACGGCCAAGATTTTTAAAATATGAAATAATCTCATATTTGAGATTTAGTTTCAATACCCCCTTTAACCCCCCTACGGAAAATAAATAAATTAATGCAAGAGAAAAATATAGATCCGAAAATCGCTGAATCGGGAATCGAACCCGAGACCTTTCGCTTGCCGGGCGACTGCTCTTCCAGCTGAGCTATTCAGATCCTTTCGATTCTATACTTTTCTCTGTTATATATATTAATGTGGTAAACAAACGCATTTTTAAGCCAGCGTGTATCAATATAAGAGTTTTAACAAGGCTCTGTATATAATATAAATTTAACGTATAAGACGGGCAACAAGAGCCAAATCGCGGATGACAATGCTTTATCCTAACGAAACTAAATAATTTTCCGTTAGAATTAAATACCGGTGCACAAGGCACCAAATTTTACTTGGACACGGCCAAGATTTTTAAAATATGAAATAATCTCATATTTGAGATTTAGTTTCAATACCCCCTTTAACCCCCCTACGGAAAATAAATAAATTAATGCAAGAGAAAAATATAGATCCAAAAATCGCTGAATCGGGAATCGAACCCGAGACCAATTGTCATCCGCGATTTGGCTCTTGTTGCCCGTCTTATACGTTAAATTTATATTTATATTACAGAGCCTTGTTAAAACTCTTATATTTATCAAACATATTTTACATCTTATAGTGGTAGATATTAATATTTTTTATGTAGTAAATATTAATTAGAGAAATTCTTGTAAATTCTTTCGATATTAGTTCACAATTACCATGAATTTTAGATGAATTCTAAGAGAAAATTCTCTCTGTGTATTTCGACGATGCTGGACAAATTAAGCATTTCAAGGAGGCGTTTCTAAAATAAGGAAATTTGTCTTCTTTTGTATGTGTGCCTCTTGCCTTGAAATGAATAAATTTTCTCGAATACAAAATCAGGTATGAAAAGAGGTAACGAAACCAAGGGACATAGATAGATATATTAGGTACAATAAAATTTTCTTTTAATTTCTCCATATTTTATTTTAAACGTTTCGGTCCTTCTAAAGAAAGGATCGTAACGTTAAACAATAGGTATAGAAAAAGTTAGAACGAATTTTATTGCCTAAATATCTGTGTCTGACTCCTATTAGTTTTTCTTAAACCTGTCTTAAAACACACAATACTCAATTGTTGTGTTAGAACTTTCAGAAATATTTTATTGTTGAAATTCCTAATTATTTCGCTCTTTTGTTATCTGTAATATTAGTTACGATTAAGTATAATGTCTGTCTTGCATGTAAATTTCAATACAGCATTGCAAAAATAACAAAAAGAATCAGAATGTGTTGGTGAATGACTTACTCGTGTTTATACTTGCATAATAATATCTTTTTTTATTCAGGAAAACTCGATAATACTACGTTTAAGAATTATGCAATGTGTTTGTAATTATCTCATATTACATATTGAAGGGAAAACATAATTGGACTAAAAACATTTTTCTTTTCTTTGGTAAGAGATATCTTTGAAAAATTTAAGTAGAAAGATATTTTTATAGACACAATAGCGTAATAAAATATAATACAATGGCGTGTTTTAAAATATACATTCAAAAATACTGTCATTTTATTTATATTTATTTATATTTATATTATATATTTATATTTTATATATTTATTTTTATTATATTAGTAAATAAAACAAAGCATTCGAGTAAAAAAAATTAAAAAATACATATTGCACATTTACCAAAAATTTAAAATTAACTTTTTGTATAATTACATTTGGCAGATGTCAAAAAAAAGAGTTGTTATATAATAAGATGATAATTAAAATTAATATGTCAACATATTTCAGTTTCAGTCCTCGCTATTGTTACGGTTTATTTATATCTAATTGATGATAAATTTCCAAACTGCTAAAATTTAAAATTATCAGATAATCTTTCTTTCTCCCTTTGTCTCACTTTTTTCTCTTGTATCTGCATATCAGGTATATTATATTAGCATCACAGAATACACGTGATGTTATGAAATAAGCGATGAATAAAATGCAAGGTGCAATCTTCCTCACTCGTCAAATGACGAAGACAATTGATCAGCGGAATATCTGATGCGAGCAAAATATGATTAGCATTTCCGTGATGTACTTTGCTTAGATAAGGATGAAATTTCAATGGCTTCTGTTCAAGTATATGAGGTACTGACTGCATCTTACATTGTCATAAACATCTGCAAAAAAACTTGATAAGACAATTCTTTTGTTTCTCACATCTTATCTATAATTAAATTATTAATTTATAATTAATAATTTATTATTAATATTAATTATTAATTATAATTGTATTATAATTAATAATTTATTAGTTGTAATTCACTTTATTATTTTAAAATCATTAAAAATTTTTTCTCATTTATTAATTAAAACAAGAATCTTTTCTATATATTATATTTTATTTGAAAAAACAAAATTTAAAAGACGATAAGAAGGAAAAAAAAGAGATTAATATTAAATTTATTTTAATTGACACAAGCTATTTTAAAACTATTCTAATTTGAATATACTTTCTTACTTTCTCTTAGAAACACTTTCAAACAATCTTCTAATTGACTATGAAATCATATAAAAATATAAACGTTTGGTAACGTAAGCATAACTTTCTTTTTAAACTCAATTTTGATATTGAATTTTTTATGCTTCTTCTGCAAATACTAATATCTTTCTTCTTCTTCTTTAATATTAATTCAAGTTTTTTCTATTTATAAATTATCTATTATTTAATTATATTTTAAATTTATATTTTCTATTTAACGTGTAAATTCTACCTAATGTGTAAATAATTATACATCATCAAATAATTACCACTTGTTAAATTGCATATCTTTTTTGTATTATATTTTTATATTATATTTTTATATTACATTTTAATATTATATTAAACATTACATTATTAGATTATATTTTTATATTATATCATTATTTATTATTTTATATTATATTTTAATTTCATATATATATTTTTATAATAGAAAATTTTTAAATAAATCTTTATTTTTCTTGTATATTAGTTCTAAAATATATATAATATTAATAACAGAAAAGAATTATATACATATATATGAAGCACAGGCAAAATTACTAATGTATGTATTATGTATAATATAATATGTATTTTAACTATCGATGCAATAAGAATGTTAACAATAGTCCATAACGTATGCAAAGCTAAACGATGCACAAGTTGCATTTACAGCGACAGAACGTCGCATGAATATAAAGAGCCGATAAGCAGATGGTGTCGAAAACTTCTATATAAATTTATTGAGACTGAGACTCGTTTTTGTAACAAACTCGTGCTCGGAAAAATTGATCGTTTCATCTGATTGCAACACAAATTTTTTCCGCGAAAAAAACGACGTAATACGTTACCGTCAAATATAATTTAAAATTGACTTAAAAAAGTGCGAAGCCACTGCTAAAATTAATTGCAACAGCAGCGGCACTAATTGCGAAGAAAAAAATAACTAACGACGCGTAAACCCGGAGGAAAAGAAACTCGATACTTTTATTATTAGGATATTATTACGTGATCGCGGCTGCATAAGGCACGTGATTGCCGTGCGAAAGTCCCTGACGTTGCCTTCTGAAAGATTGCGTGATAAATCCATTAGGAATCATTAAGGATACAGCAGGCGAGTTTAGTTAATTAATTCTGTCTCATACTAATCTTATAATTTTTTTATTATTCAGTTCATACAAGTTTTCTCATCATTTTTAAATTATAATAAATACCATTCATTATTTAAGTGTTGCTAACAAAATATATATATTTCAAGATATTTTTTAGAGCGAGAGATGTGAAGAGAACTGGAAGTTCACAGATTTTTTCAACCGACTCTTTCAGAATTATGCCATCTATTTGTTAAGATTTAATTTCGCGATAAATAAAATAATCTTACCTCAAATCTGAGGTCTCGATCGGCGTCGCAGCATAGGGAATTCCCAGGAATGCATGAATGTCTCTTCCAAGTCTAGTACGCATTGTTGCACCTATCAACGTGCCATTTCGCAGTTGCTATCGATTGACTACAGACGGTATATGCATTAAGTATAAAAAGATAAATAAAGCCTAATTGGATTAATATGTTATTTCGAACTGTCCACATTTTTCGATACTCCTGTAGTATCTGAAGTTCAATCTCCGATTGTTGAAAAATTTGTTAAAGAATCTCTGTGAACATGGTTAAATATATGCATAATATATAAATGCTATATATAAGTTTAATATATAAATTATAATATATTATATAAAACGTAAACGCGATGCATGTGTAAAATAAATATTTAATTATAAAGACATGTGCAAACGAATATTAGTATTTGTAGACTGCAACAAGAAGAGAAATACATGAATTAAAGTTTGAAATAAATAATAAATGTATTATATATCTATAATTATATTATAATAATTTTTAATATATAATATTTCTATCACATTATTTTTTTGCAAATATTTCTATTAAAATAACAATATAATAATTAAACTGTTGTTATATTTTAGTTATCTATATGTATGTATATTATATACATATACATATAATAATCTGTTTAAAAACATCTAAATATTTAAATATAAATATTCAACAATTCATATAATAAAAGTTACGGCTATTAAAGAACGGAAGATTTGACAATTATCAAGAAAGACAATTAAACAGTAATAAAGAGGAAAAGGTGATATTTATATTGAGTTTGATTTATGACCGACATAATTATAGAGAAAGTGAAATTATATTCGTATATCTATATTACATCATCAAAAGATCGATGATTTTCAATCTACGATTTGATGAGCCGCGATTAAGTAAACCACAACACGTGCTAGACAAACTGGTTTTACAGCGAAAATATAAAGCAGCTTCAAAATCAATGATATACAAACATGATGAGTTACGTAGTAAAAAAAGTATGTAGTCCGTATAAAACGCTGATATCATCTGAGCAATACAATTTAATGCAAACTGCAAATTAATACAAAATAAAAACAAACTAGTGTAAACAAACATAATTAAGTAGGTAAATATTTTTGCGTTTTAATTTTGTTTTTTCGTACATTCTGTCAAATAAGCTTCGAATTTGATGTTTCAAACAATTTGTAATTTTAAAATTGCTACTATCATTTGATATTTCTTTAATAATAAAAAATAATACATTTTTTCTCTCTTAAATTTAGAATTAGAAGTTAGTGATTAATTAACAGTTAATAGTTAATTAATAGTTAATACAAAGCATATTTTGAAATATTTATTTAATAAACGATTTTTAAGATATACTTTATATCTATCATATTTTATTGTATTTATAATTAACAGGCTATGTAACCGCAGATTAAATAATCAGAGTTTGTTTTAAAATCCATCACTTTATGAATGTACAAATTTGCTCTATTATTTATTCGTAAATTCTACGGTTTCTACGAAATTTTTGTCAATTAATGATAAGAAGATTATTAAACGATAAGATAACGAGAAAAGATAACAATGAGAAGGTTTATATTTTCATATCACTGATTTAACTTATAAAAAGTAATTATATTTAGAGAAATGTAGAAAATAGTTATTAATTATAAAAATCTAAATTGCACTTATTACAAATAAATGAATAATAATAAAAAAAATTTTACGAGAAAAATTTTACTTTAATCTTATATGAGGAATGATTAACTGTACTTTTTTATCAGATAGAGCGTCAATAGCCTGACATTTATACAAAAATAAGATTGTTATTGTATCAACAGTGTGTGTGCGGTGAATTATGAAAATTATGAAGTTAGTAACAGAGACTTACTCTAATATCTATGAGATCGTTGGACCGTAAACGAGCCGGTGTAATGAGAGTGAGTAACCGTGCGGTTTCGTTGATGCTGAAGAGAACGTTCGTGTTCGTTTGGCGAAGGTAGGAACAAGACTGTCGCGAGAGAGAGTCGTTCGTTGGCTTAATATCGATGATGGAAAACGACGTCACAATCTCTTACAAAGCACAAACGCGAATCTTTCCGGTAACGTTATATATTCTTCCCAATTCAACGATTCATTTTGATAGACTTTTTTTTCTCTTCGATCGTGTCGCTTTGGATTATGCTGATTAGCATCGTATATATATACCATATGACGCAAGTGCATACAGATATAAATGTAAATTATATATTAGACTTCCCATATTAATATTTTATATGTAAAACTGCAAATTCTTGGTCTCAATTATCTTTTAAAATTTTACTTATTATTTTAAAGAAATAATTAGCGCTTGTAAAGATTGAAAGGATAGCTTTAATCTTTCATAATATAATTAAAAAATAAAATATTAACATTTTTTAAATGCATTTTATAGGGGATAAAAATATATTTGACATCTAATTAGAATTTTCAGATAATCTTTTTTACAAAAATGTTAATCTTTTTTACAAAAAATCTCAAATATCGCAAAAAATGCTTTTTCTTAAATTTTAATTAATTTGGAAATCTGACGTGCTGATGAAATTTGGTTTGCGATCAAAAAATCTTTAAGGAATACTTTGTCTGATTTTAAAATAATTTTCGGCTAAAATTAGTGTAATTTATAATTTAATTCCTATTGCTTTCGATTCTTAGTGATTTAATAAAAATGAATTTTTCATCAATCTAAATATTATTGCTTAATTAGTTTTATATTGAAAGTGTATATACAAGAATAAAATCACAGAATTCATATACAAAAAGTCATTATATATGTACATTAATTAAGGAAATCTGACGTGCTGATGAATTTGGTTTGCGATCAAAAAAGCTTTAAGGAATACTTTGTCTGATTTAAAATAATTTTCGGCTAAAATTAGTGTAATTTATAATTTAATTCCTATTGCTTTCGATCTTAGTTGATTTAATAAATGAATTTTCATCAATCTAAATATTATTTGCTTAATTTAGTTTTATATTGAAAGTGTATATACAATAATATTAAAATCACAGAATTCATATAACAAAAGTCATTATATATTGTACATTAATTAAGGAAATCTGACGTGCTGATGAAATTTGGTTTGCGATCAAAAAGCTTTAAGGAATACTTGTCTGATTTAAAATAATTTTCGGCTAAAATTAGTGTAATTTTATAATTTAATTCCTATTGCTTTCGATTCTTAGTTGATTTAATAAATGAATTTTTCATCAATCTAAATATTATTTGCTTAATTAGTTTTATATTGAAAGTGTATATACAATAATATTAAAATCACAGAATTCATATAACAAAAAGTCATTATATATTGTACATTAATTAAGTAAATTATTATTAAACTATTAATAAATTATTATTAGAGTATTTTATAAACATTTAGTTTGTATTAGACTAAACAATACAAGCGTGCGCTTCGCGTGCTCCTTTGATATCATTTCTATTGTTCATTTTACAACTGTTACAATTGTTAATCGTCGCAATGACAGTTGCTTGATCTATGACCATAATTTTAATTCGCCGAATTACTATTATGTACATAATTTTAATTTTCGAAGTTTTATTAAGTACATAATTAAAAACGCTGAATTTCTATTATATACATAATTTAATTCCTAAATTTTCATTATGTATATAATTTTAATTGATTAAATATATATTATGTACATAATTTTAATTTGCCGAATTTCTATTGTATGTTTGAGAACTATTTTATACATAGATCTTTTGTATATAGAGTATCTTTTTACATATTTTTTTCTCATTTTTTATTTAGTTAATCGAATATATTATTACGTGTGCGAAGCAAAGTTTTATTCATGTCATTAATAACTGGGAATTCAAAGTTTTATTCTTTGATAATAAAACCTTAAAAATTGCAACGCACGTATAAAATGATTATTGCAATGCATGCATAGAAATATGTTTATTAATTACGTAATTTGTAAAAATTCAATATATAAATTTTTAATAGAAAACAAAAAATATAATTTTCTACAAGAAACTTTCGATCAAAATTAGATTCGCGTGTCTTGACGCGTCCGCTACACGGCTCGCATGAATCTGATCACGTGATCATCAGTCTCGTACTCGCGATTATCTCGCACGAGAACCAGTGTCGCCAATCATCAGATTAATACACCCCACAGTCCATCCGTTTGCGCGGCTTGGCGCGACACTATTTCTCGTGCAGGGTATCGCTGAGCGCGGGAGCTATGGTCAATGACCAGTGTTCACAGGACCAGTGGTAACATGACCAGCGGTCACTACTTCGTTTCGCGCTTCGCGATGCCGCAAAAACTCACCGAAAAAAAGTCCCGCGACGAGCCGCGCAACAAAATGGATATTTATCCTCTTCCTATTGCAAACCCATGTAGAATCCTATGAAAAATTAATCATTGCAAACCCATGTAGAATCCTAGGCAAATTAACCATTGCAAACCCATGTAGAATCGTACCCATTGCAAACCTATGTAGAATCCTATGAAAAATTAACCATTGCAAACTCATGTAGAATCCTATGAAAAATTAACCATTGCAAACCCATGTAGAATTGTATTAAAAATTATCCATTGCAAACTTATGTAGAATCCTACATTGCAAACCCATGTACAATAGAATTGTATGAAAATTATCGATTATAAACCCATGTACAATCGTAACAAAAGTAATGAAATAAAAAAAAAATTGCGCCAAGTGAAAGTAGAAACTTGTACCAGTGGAAAATTAAAGTTGCAGACATATATAGAGTCGTATAATGAATCAGTAAAAATTTAAATTTGCAAATGTAGAATCGTACCATAAAAAAACTTATCTTTTAAAAAAAAAGATAAACAAGATGCCAAGTCCATGCGCCATGTGAAAAAGAAATAAAAAAATTTTAGTTAAAAAAACTGGGCGCGCTGCTAAGTTTCAAAATTACAATGCACCTTAAAGTAACATTAATTAATTTAAACACAAAAATTTTAACTGTAATGAGTTTAAAAGTAACAATTTATTTTAATATTGTTAGAATATTATTTAGCAGCGCTCCCAGTTTTTTTAACTAAAATTTTTTTATTTCTTTTTCACATGGCGCATGGACTTGGCATCTTGTTTATCTTTTTTTTAAAAGATAAGTTTTTTTATGGTACGAT